GGTTCTTTCGGTAAGAAATAAAAAGCTGAGAATTTCTGGGTTCTTTGCATCGTTACCTTTTCTAACATATCTTGGTGATAAAAGACTAAAGCAATCAATACACTGCGTTCAGTTAGAGAGAAAAATAGCACAGAAACTGCGGGTGTTGAGTGAATAAAATGATCGCTCTATTGACGGCATGTTTGTTTTTTGCAATCCTTGTGCGCGCGCTGAATTGCATCAGCAGAAGTGCGCGCGAAAACTGTGTTCGGCCACCTTAAAACCGCTCACTTGGAAAAGATACATCGATAATGTCTTTTCTCTATGGCACATAAACAAAGAGGAAATAGACACGTTTATAGAGCTAGCACATAACTATTATCCAACTATAAAATTCACGTCTGAAATTTCAGATACAGAAATAACTTTCCTGGATTCATGCGTATATAAGGGCGAAAGATTTAAGAAGGCATCCACTCTCGGCGTGCGCACGCACTTCAAACGGATAGAAACTTTCCAATACATACACGTCACCTCCTGCTACCCTCAGGCGTCAGGAAAGGCTTTATCAAAGGCAAGGCCTCAAGACTTCTGAGAACCAACCTTTCAAAAGCTACATTTGAAGAAAACATTACACAGTTCAAACGCAGATTACGAGACAGAGGTTATCCAGATAACCTTTTAGAAAATACTCTCTCAGAAATTAAATTTAGCGAAAAAATGTCGGCTCCACAAAATAAACAAAAAACGCGCAAAAGAATTTTGCCGTTTGTTACAGACGTTACAGAATGTCGCCCATCTGCGCCTAATCAGAAAAATATTCTTCTAAATGGCATTGAATAGAAAATAAGCCTCTGCTAAGAGACATCTATAAAGACCCTCCCCCGCTATCAAACAGAAAAGGGAGATCTCTGAAAACGTACTTGTTAGAGCAATGCTTTCGAGGTCAAAGTTTTCCAATCTTGACCAATAGGAGTCGTGTTTGGCCTGTCAACCATCTGTATCATCATCATCTTATTTACCATGTCGCAAAATATAATTCTTGACTATGCCATGGAACATCTGTCTAAATATACAGTTACATAAACCTGATGCAGATGAAATATAAGTGGGCTTATGTCAACAAAACTGTAAATAACCGTTTGCATTGTTGTAAATTAAATGCAAGTCCGTGTAACAGAAATACGTTTTAAAATCCAAATTACCGCACAAAGAAGAAAATAAATTACCTCCGAATTCAAAGATTCGAGAGACTGATCCACTGGTTTCACTTCCATTCATTACGTGACGTTTTTCACGTGCAAAAGATTGTGCTCCATTCGGTTGCCGAATTTCTTTGTGAACGAAAGGGTCACGAAAGTCCTCTATATTTTGGAGA